ACGAGAGCCTGATTCCACCACGCTGCCTCACATATGAAGGAGAGGGAACAAGAAGAGGAGAGACGGGGAGGTAATTCGAGAAGCGCTGTTCGCGTTTGTTTGTTTTTTAATTATTTTTTTTTTGTCTGTGTGTGTGTGTGAGTGGTAATGAGTTCAAAATGTTGACAGACCTGCTGGAAGTGGAAATAAGCAGAATTTCTTTTTCTTCTCCGAACGAGGGGTAAGCCTTAAGATTTCAACAAGGTGTAGTTTACGCTAAGTCAGCAAAATACAAATCTCATTTTGCCTTTTGGTCTCCGATACGCAGTTTGCTGGAGTAAAGAAAAAAAACCCCAGAAGAAAGAATTGACAGATTAAAATAAAAGAGTTGAAGAGAGAGAGAGAGAGGAGAGAGGGAGAGAGAGAGAGAGAGAGAGAGAGAGAGGGAGAGAGAGAGAGAGAGAGAGAGAGAGAGAGAGAGAGAGAGAGAGTATGTGTGTGAGTAGGTGAGGTGTCTGTGTGTGTCTGTGTGCACAATACTGTTTTGGTCCGGATTCGTGGTGGTAACATCGGTTTAATACAACAAAGGGTATTCAGTGTTTACACACTCAGTTCATGGGAAGGTGGAAGGAAGCAGTTTGTCGGTCGCTACCTTCGAGTTGCAAAGTTCTATCTGCTTCGTACCTAGTTTTTCGGAAATTTGATGTCAAAAAGTTTGAGTTTCACAACCTGTCAAGCTTTTTGGGATGAAGTTCTTAGAATATCTTGCTAAACAACTCTGAATAATCTTGCAATTTTGATGGAGCAGATAGAACATTTGGTTCTGATCTCGTGGTCTTAGTAATCCAAACCGACCAAAAATGTTAGATAGAACTTTTCAACTCTATGGTAGCATAGTGGGGAAAAAAAGAAACTTTTGTTAGAGTGTCAAGAAGTACATGTATATGACAACATCTATTAAAATTCCGTTCTGAGGAAGAGCTAGACAGATAGAGAGGCACAACAGAAGGAAAGCAAATAAGTGCAGGAGCAAATGACATACTAGCCAAGCTATCCAACCACGCACTTATTGCAAGAATACATCTTTTTTATAATGAAAATGATAAAGAGGAGGAGGAGGAGGAGGAGGAGGAAGAGGAGG